GTTAATGGGATGGAAGATGCTTTAACGGACACCGAGTTTCACTTTTGCAGGATTAAAAAGTTCTGATTTGCAGCGATGTGAACTTACCCAGCACCACTGCCCTGCACAGCAGAAAAGAGAGATCAGACACAGTGCTGTCTTTTTAAAAATCACGGTAAAATAAAACAAACAGACCGGGTATGATAACTCAATCCTGTAGTATCAGTATACAGAGGTTAGCCTGGGCTACATATGAGGACCCTGCCTCAAAACTCTCTCTCTCTCTCTCTCTCTCTCTCTCTCTCTCTCTCTCTCTCACACACACACACACACACACTCTCTCTCTCTCTCTCTCTCTCACACACACACTCATACACACTCACACTCACACGCATGCACAGGCTGGCAGGTATGTCCTCTTCAGCACACACTCATACACGCTCACACTCACACGCATGCACAGGCTGGCAGGTATGTCCTCTTCAGCACACACTCATACACGCTCACACTCACACGCACACTCTCTCAAACACACACACACACACACTCATACACGCTCACACTCACACGCATGCACAGGCTGGCAGGCATGCCCTCTTCAGCTATGTTGTGGAAATACACCTTCCATGGGTGCCCAAGGAACCCCCACCTCAGCACTGTACCTCCCTGACCTGGAACCATAGGCAGTAACTACAGGGCACACATTGGGCACCTGGTCACTGAATAGTTACTGAGTAAGCTGTTTGGCAGTCACATGCCAAGGTCAAGCTGGTCAAACCTTTGTATGTTACAGACTGGTCAGTGGAGGCAAGGCATGCTGACCTGTCCACAGTCCCTAAGCCATTGAGAGATAAGGAAAGATGTGAACTCTGGCTGTAGCTCTTCTATGAGAGTATCTGACATCAACATGCAATCAACGCGTGGTCAACATGGGATTAGGAATTCCCTACTGCAACTGGGAAATAAACAAGAAATTCCCCACAATGGTCTTCAAGTTATACTAGTGATTCAGAATTTGGCGGACCTTGGCCTCTTTAATAACTCATAGAATGACCTACGTGAAACCCAGACAAAAGTTTTCAAAGGTTCATGGACCACCACCCCCCCCCAAATTTACCCAGATACCTCAGTCAAGAATCCCCTTAAATGCTTGTGTAGGTCCTGAGTTCAAGTGCTATGTGATTAGTTTTATGTCAACTTGCATAAGCAAGAGTCACTTGGCAAGCAGGACACTCAACTGAGAAAATGCTTCCATAACATTGGCCTATAGGCAAGGTTGGAGTGTGTTTTTTTGATTGATGATCCATATTGAAGGGCCCAGCTCAGTGGGGATGGTACACCCTGGGCAAGTGGTCCTGAACGCTGTAGGAAAGCAGGCTGGGAAAACCATGCAGAGAAAGCCAGTAAGCAGCGTTCCTCCATGGTCTCTACTTCAGTTTCTGCCTCCAGGTTCCTTCCTGTGCTCCTGCCGTGACTCCCCTCAGTGACGGACGGTAACCTGAGTGTTGTAAGTCAAATAAACCCTTTCCTCTCCAAGTTGTTTTTGGTGATGGTGTTGTATCACAGCAATAGAAACCACAACTAAGACATTCTAGAACCCCACAAACCAAGTATGGTGGCACACACCTGTCAACAACACTTGGGAGGAAGAGGCAGAAGGATCAGAGATTCAAGATCATAGCAAGACCAGACTGAACTACATAAGACTCTGTCAAAAAAGTAAGCAAGAAAGTAAACAAATAGAATCCACTTTATGCCGGGTGTGGGGGTGACATCTCTAATCATAGCACTTGGGGGTGGAGGCAGAAGGATCCTGCAGTTGGGTGAGAGCCCATTTCAACAAACCACACCAAAACCAAAACAAAACAAAGAACCTAGTTCTTCACACTGCTGAGTGCATTCTTTCTCAGGATTGCCTACACATCAGAGCCCTTGGGAATCCCACGAAGTCCATGGAGGCTGATAAATCAGCATTGGCACATCAGAGGATTCTGGGCTTGCAGCTCTCAGACTGCTGAGTAGCTGCATCCAGACCTACGGTAAGTGTAATTCCTCCAGCTCCCAGGTGCCCTCCCTGGTGCCCACTGAAGCTAAAGGCTCCATGACAGACCATTAGGGACCATTCAAAGCTCTACAAGTTCTCCTTTAACTTTGGGCCCCAGACCAGAAGCCTGAACATCATCCTTGACTCCTGACTACCTGTCTCCACTCCACACGCGGTATGTTTGTGCGTGTGTGTGGTGCCAGAGGAGGGCATTAACCTTGAGATAGCGTCTCTTACTAAGCCTGGACCTCATATTTTATTTATTTATTTATTTTGCTAGGCTAGTGGCCTGAAAACCCCAGGAATCCTGTCTCCAGTGTCAAAGCATTGGGGTTATAGGAACACATAGGTAAATTCACCATTTTCTGTGAGTTCTGGGGATCTGACTCAGGCCCTCATGCTTTCTTAGCAAGTGCTTTATACACTAATCTGTCTCCCCAATTCCCTCTCCATCACCCACACCTTTACTACCATACAGTGAAGGTGAACTGTCCCTCCCAGGTGTTCTGGGCCTCCCTCCTCACCTCTGTTTTCTTCTGTTCCTACACTAGTCTACGGTGGAAAATCAACTGCCAACTTAAGGAGATCCAGAATTATCTGGGACACAGGGATGCCCAATGTGGGTTATCTTGAGTAAACCGATGGAAGCAGTGTTGTGGGAGTGTCATATATCAATCTGTTGATTTCATTGGTTAAGCAATAAAGAAACTGCTTGGCCCTGATAGGTTAAAACATAGGTGGGTGGAGTAAACAGAACAGAATGCTGGGAGGAAGAGGAAGTGAGCTCAGAGACATCATGCTCCCCTCCCCCGGGCAGACGCGATTCAGCTCCGACCCAGGATGGATGTAGGCTAGAATCTTCCTGGTAAGCGCACCTCGTGGTGCTACATAGATTATTAGAAATGGGTTAAGAGGCTGAAACTAATGGGCCAGGCAGTGTTTAAAAGAATACAGTTTCCGTGTAATTATTTCGGGTGTAAAGCTAGCCGGGTGCCAGGGACGCAGCCCGTCTCCTATTACAACAAAGCAGGAGGTCCCATCCATTGTGGGCAGCACCATTCCCTGGGCTTAGCTCCTAGACCATATATACAAATGGAGTTGAACAGAAGCATCACATTTCCTGACTAGAGATGCACTCTGACCTGCTGTACCATATTCCTGCCATGGAGACTCCCACCATGCTGCACTTGGATCTTGACCCACGAGCCAGACTAAACCCCTCCTTCCTTACACTGCTTTCTTTTAAAGTTGGTATTTTATCATGGCAACAGAAAGAGACTAAGGCACTGTCTTCATCCTGCAGTCCTGACCCCAACAAAATCCTTCCAGGCAAAAAGAGCTCTAGAGTTGATTCATCCAGTACAGCAGCTGCATGTGGCCATTTAGATTTACATTAAAATTAACAGAATCAAATCCTATATCTCTAGCCACACTTCCAATGCTCAGTAGCCACAGGTAACTAGTAACCACCACATTATACCTGGTGAATGTGGGCTGGTTGATTTTAACTGTCAACTTGATACAACCTAGAATCACTTGAGAAGGATCTCAACATGAATTTATTCAGGTTAGGTTGGTCTGTGGGCATGTTTGCAGGGAATTTTCTTGATTGTTAATTAATGTAGGACAGACCCAGTCATGGTGATTGGTACCATTCCCTAAGCAGGGGCTCCGAGAAAGCCAGCTGAAAGTAAGCAAGCGAGGGTTGTATAGGGCAGCCCCACAGCAAGGCAGGACTCGAGCCTCATACAGCACAAGTGTCCTTATACACTAGCCCAGGCAACTCCACAGGCAGGGGCTGGGTCCTGCACACGGCATGACCCCAGCCAGCAGCCCAGGGGCAGGCACACAGGTGGTCCTCACCAGCCTCGATGCCCCAAAAACTCCTTCACCTAAGACTCCGGCTCCTACAGTATGGGAAGATGGATAATGTCTTCAACACCTAGGTCCCAGTCTCTGGAACCTGTGGATGCTACAGCTTTTGGAAAAGGGACTTGGCATCTTCATTTAGTAAAGGATCTAAGAGAGACAGACAGAGATAGAGACAGACAGAAACAGAGAGGCCCATGGAGTCCAAGCTGGTCCTGAACTCACGAGGTGCCTGAGGATGACCCAGAACTTCTGACCCTTATGTCTCCACTTCCCTTGCACTGGGATTACAGGTGTGTGCCACTATGTCCAGTTTATTTAGTGCTAGGTACAGAATGGGACCCAGAGCTCTTTGCGTGCTAGGCAGGAACTCCACCAGCTGAGTTACATGAAACCAGCACGTTTAGGATAATTTGGTATAGTGGCCATAGGGAGCGAATGAGTGTACTCCATTCTAAGGGACTATTGTGTTGGAATCAGAAGATCTGAAGGCCGAGGGAGAGAAGAGGAATAGCTGAGGATGTAACAGAGTACATGTGCCTAGCATGCACAAGGCCCTCAGTTCCATCCTCAGCACCAGAAAAAGAAAAGAAAAGAAAAGAAAAGAAAAGAAAAGCAAAGAAAAGAAAAGAAAGGGACCAGGGACGCGGCTCCAAATGTGCTAGTGGGTGCAGCTGAGCTGGGAAAGTCTCTAGAGGGTCCCGTGCATAGACCACTGGCCAGTAAGCTTCTACATCACTTCCCCACCTTGGTCCTGCTGCCTCCTGGCTGCTGAAGGTGCCAAACAGGTCTGTGAGCTGACTTTGGATGGGACAAGCACTTTCTCATCTTCCCAGCGGCCCACTGACTCCCCTCCTACACAGCGCTGCTAAGGCTGCCTGCTTTTCAGTCACTCAAAGAAACACGGCACGGTTGGGTGAAGGCGTGAGTGAGGGCATCTCTTGGAACCTTCTCTTGCCTCACCATGATAAATTTTTCCTACCCCTATAAATTTTTCATCTCATAAGTTAGCAGCAGGGTTTATGTAACTGCACACGGTAGTTGCTCCGTGTATTTTAATAAAGGAACTGGAGAATGAATGCAGTTTGGGACCACTGGCCCAACATACCTGATCTTGGCCTTCCTAAAAGCCAGCTCCTCTTCATTGCCGAAGTCTAGGGACACATCCTCAGTATCGTCCACGAGGGCCTGGGGGACACCAAGAACAGATGGCAGGCCCCACTGACACACACCCTGCCTCCACTGCAGAGTGCCCTTTCCTCCTAGATGGTCTGAGCTTCTTTTAGTCTTAGCCCTTTACCGCTCCAGGCTTTCCCCCACCCTCTTTACACTGGGGCCCAGTTCAGCCTTAGGCTCCAAGGCCAGCGCATCTATTTTCCTCCCTCAGGCTCTTTGCCATCATCCTCCTCACGATACGGCATCCCCGCAGCCCTACCTGTTTCATTCTCCTGGGTACCAGTTGACCCTACAGCGCAGGCTCCAGTTTCACCCTTCACCGCCCAAAGTTAAGGAAGCCCAGCAAGCAGCGGGCCTGAGGGATGCTAAGAGCTCAGGCTCCACAGCTTTGCTCTGCTTGTCTGTTGGGGGAGGGGCTCTGCGCAGTGCGCAGTCTCCGGCTAGGGCGGCGGTTCCAGAGAGGATCCCCAGGGAAGCAGTGACAGACGCTGAGCCTGGAGCTGCTGGCAGGGAAACGGACAGACCTGCAGGACCCTGGACAGTGAGGGAATGGTGGCAGTGTGTGTGTGTGTGTGTGTGTGTGTGTGTGTGTGTGTGTGTGTGTGTTGTGGAGATTCCAGAGGGTTGAATGAATGTCTGTTCATTAGTATTCAGAAGCAACATTAAGGTTGGAAGAAAAGTTTTCAGGCTCTATGAAAAGCAGATTTTTCTGAGCCAGGCATAGTAGTACAGACCTGTGACCCCAACACCTGGAAATCTGAGGCAGAACATTGTCTGGCTGCATAGAAAAAGAAACACACAAACCAGGTGTGATCAGGATCATGTTGCTTGGCTCGGGGACTTTTGTATTAGAAATGGGCACGCTGAGGAGGTAGCTATTGACATGTGAAGGCCTTATTGCCCTCTCCTGGTCCAGAACAGGATCACTCCACTTCCCCTCGGGCCTGCCCATCTCTTTCCAATTTCTACCTCACTACCTCTACAATTTTCCTCCCCCTGCACATCCCCGCCCTACTAGCCAAGCCTGTTGTTTCTGCTTTGCTGGTTTATGTTACTCCCTGCCCACAAGCAGGTGTTATCTGGTGACCCCCACGGGGGACACTGGGCCACGAGATCCATGGCAGTTCCTTCCCTGCTGGCCCTGGTTGGGGTACAGTGAGGAGCTGCCTTACCTCCGATCCTCTGGAGATAGAGATGCTGTCTGGCGAAGGGGTAGAGGGGACTCCTTCTAGGACAGAAGGTCCCCTCAGAGGCCAAGTCTTTAGAAGTGTTGTCCAAACCATGCCTGACATGGTAATGTTGGCCTGTAATCATAGTACTTAGGAAGGTGGGAGCAGAACAATCTCAAGGCCAGCCTGGGCAACTTCATAAGACCCTATCTTAAAAGTTTATTTTAAAAAGGAAGTTGTGTGTGTGTGTGTGTGTGTGTGTATTTTATAGAGTTCTAGAGTTTTTGCCTTGCATATAAGAGGCCTTCGGTTCAGTCCCCAGTACCGTGTGTGTGTGGTGTATTAGGGAATATTGTGGCGGTTCCAGAGAATTGAGTGAATGAATGTGTGTATGGGGAGGGTTTGTTGTGGAGATTATATATCCAAGTCCAGCATCCAGCATCAGTTCTAGAAGCTTCTAAATCCTCTACTTCTCAACCACCACCATAGTCCACTGGAATCAGTACAGTGGATTGCCAAAGCTCACAGGGGTCAGACCCAGTGTCTTCTCTCCAGCTTCCCAGGTGGCAGTGTCTGTGGAAGGGCTTGGGAATGGAATCTGCCTCCGCTAAAGTGATATTAAGGCCGGGATTGCCCTCGAGGCATCAGGATCTATGGCTACCGAGGTTGTGCTTTCTGGAAAGTTTGGTTGCCTACAGCCCCACCTACAGCTGGCTCCAGGCACAGATGTGACACTGAAAAGCCAACAGGAGTGGACTGGGGGAAGCGTTCACAGTGGAGACCAGGTGGGTGTGAGCATTTAGGGGCTTTTCCTCTGACCCTGAGCACCTGAGCTGGGGACAGTTGGGAAAACCCCCTTGGAAGCCCCATCAGGGTTAACGGACGCCACTCTCAGGGTGGGGATCCTCAGAAATGACCACTGCCACATGAGGTGACTGTTCTCCCCCTGACCTGGCCTGTCCTCACAGGGCAGAGGATGGGAGGGCAAAGACCAAGCACTTTGCAGGGAGTTTATCATCAGCCTTGAAGTTGGCTCCAGCCACCTTGTAAGTGGGGTTTGAGGGCAGAAGCCAGGGCTCTGGCAGGATCAATAAGCCAGGCTCAGCTACCCGCCCCATACTCCAAAAGGAGAGATGAGGGAGAGGGAGACAGGAGAGACTAGATCAACACACTGGGAAGAAACAGATGGCAGGGCCTGCTGATCCCGTCTTCAGGGCACAGATACGAACTTAGTTTAGAAGAGGGGACAGGAGCGAGAGGTGTTATGTACGCTGATGAGGCGGTCCTGGCTGAGGTACGGTCCTGTCCCCCACTGTTCAGCTTGGTTGTGCCCATTGGTCCAAAATATTGTTACTCTCGTATCACTGATATGAACGGGGGAGTAACCTGCTCTTCCCAGGTGATCTGCTCCAGGTGCTGCTGCACCATGGGGGCTGACAGTGTCTGCAGTCGGTTCGCCAGGGAAGTCTGCTGTTCTGGAATCCTGGGCGACTGCAGGTCCCACATACTATCCTGTCTCTTCAGTCTTGAGGGGAAATGAAGGTAAACAGACAAGTCTTAGTAAGTCCCATGGCTATACCTAGAATTAGGCAGGAGTCCAAAATAAACACAAGGAGAGATAAAAAGTGAAGGGAGAGATGCCAGGTTCCTCCCGGCTTTTACCTTTTACTAGGTAGCTTTGAAGATTCTGGTCCAGTCCTTTGGAGTCTCCAGGGAGGGGTTTGGGAACCTACTTCTCATAAGGAAAATACTAGTATTTGGAATATAGGGAGTACTTAGAGCAGAAACTTGTGGAAAAATGCCTTTTCTTCAATGCTCTCTGCTCCTCTTAGCCTACTTGGGGCAGGGAGCAGAAACTCAAGGTTCAGTCTTATCCCAGGTCCTATAGCTGAGCCTTGGAGCCAGACCAGCCCCTGTAGGGGCCCCAGGCTATGCAGCCCAGGCTCTGGAAACCATCAGAGCTCAATGTCTGGTTGTCACCAGGCCTGAATGGGTGGCCTGTGCGGGAGACACCATCTCCCTGACCTCAATGTCCCTTCTCTAAAGTGACCACACTTCCCCCATCCTAGATGGCAAGAACTGGAACATAGTGCATATAAAATGCCCTTCTCAGAGTGCAAGCTTAAAAACTATGCCCTGGGGACAGTCATCCACATAGGGGCTGGGATCTGAGGAACCAGTGGGCCCACAGCACAAGGTCTTATGTCTAACTCACCCTTCCATGAGGTGCCTGTCTTTGCAGCAGAACCAGTGAGTGACAGACTTCAAAGAGTTGAGCTTAAGGAATCTAGGTTAGATGATTTGTTTTTAAGATGAAGTCTTGTGGGTTCCAGGCTGATGTCAAACTCACTCTGTAGCTAAGAATAGCCTTCTGCCAGATCTTCCCAGTTCTGCACCTCGACTGTTGTGTATCACCATGTCTGAAACTGGGACTTGGTAAATGCCAGGCAAGTGGTCTACCAACTGAGTGACAGTCTAGCCCTCACCTCGTGTGTGTGTGTGTGTGTGTGTGTGTGTGTGTGTGTGTGCGTACTGCCACATATGTGTGTGGTGTATGTGTGTGCAAATGCACGCACACACACACACACACACACACACACATGTATGTGGCAGAACAGGCCTTCTGCAATTGGTTGAGAGAGCGGAGCCTGTCACCCCATAAGTAGGTGCTTCCTGGACCTCTGGTTTCCTCTGAGTAGTTGAGGTCCAGCACCTTCTCCATAGCTCCTGTGCTGGAGAATGCATAAGAGCCACCCACCCTTACCCTAGAAGCTAGAGATGCAGTTATGTTAGCCCCATAGAGAGGGTGACCTGCCTAGTTAGAACCTTTGACCTTCCTTCCCTGACGTGGGCCTAACTCCTTGCGATACTCTGTTAACACCCGCCAGGCTAAGATTCCTAGAAAGTCCCAAACTCCTTGCTACCTCAGGGTTCCTGTACCTGCTGCTTCCCAGTCCACATCCTTCCCTTCCCGAATCCCCCAGGGCCAAAAGTAGGAAGGCCCTTCTCAGGAGTGTCCCTCATCTGGCTCACACCCTACCCACAGGCTAAGCCTTCTCTCTAGTTTTAGGATCTAAACCCCAGCTGGACTTGTTTCCTTCCTAGCGCTTTCTGATAAGCTTCAATCTTCTAGTCTTAATGGCCTGCTGGGCTGTCACCTCCCCACACTCTGTCTAGGACTTACCTCTAGATCAGTGGTTCTCAACCTGTGCCTCGCGACTCCGTTGAGGGTGTTGAATCATCTTTTCACAGTGGTCGCCTAAGACTATTGGAAAATGCAGATATTTACATTTTGATTCATAACAGTAGCAAAATTGCAGTATGAAGTAGTAATGACATAATTTTATGGTTGGGTCACCACAACATGAGGAACTGTTTTAAAGAGTTGCAGCCTTAGGAAGGTTGGGAATCGTGTCTCTAAAAGAAAAAATGAACTTTAGACAGATGAAGGAAGCTCCCTGAACGTTCTGGGCACTGGTGCTGTGTGGTTAGTGAGGAAAAGGTGAATAACCCCATGCAGTATGCCCAGCAGTGTCTCCACCCAGCCTAGAGAGCTAGAAATGGTGAGGCTCTAGAACCAGGGAGCAAAGAGAGGCGTGGATACCCACGCACGTCCTGTCTGGAGCTTCGAGTCCCCACTCACACACACACTGCTAGCCCAGGGCCTTTGCTTCCCTGCCAGCCCAGCTCTCAAACAGCTGCTCTGTATATCCAGGACACGTTTCTGCCCTGAGGTTCTGAGCCTGACACAGTGGAGGAGGCTGACCTGGGCTGAACTGGAGTCCTGTTCTGGGGACTTTTCAAGATTGTTGTTACTATTTGGAAACAGTTCAAAGGCCTTGGCCAGCAGGCACAAGACTCTGCTGTCCTTGACAAAAGGAGATTGGCGAGCCTTAGAGCCAGCAGGCAGAATCACCACTTACGGGAAATGCACCCGCTGAAGAGAAAGACCCTGGCACCTATCCAAACTGGATGAGGAAGCCTTGTGAGCCACACCACACACTCTCTCTGGATGGGTGGCATGACTGAGCTCTGCGAAATGGCCCAGGGGTATGTGCCCTGCCCCCTTTCACTAAACACAAAAACAAAACAGAAGCAGGCAGCCACTTGAGTTGCCTGAGTGCCCACACCCTCTTCAGCTGGGTTCAGCTGGGCTTGCCTCCTCTATCAGCTGGGCTATCTCTGGCAAGCTGCTAAACCTTCTGAGTCTCAAGTTTGTCATGCAATAG